TGTTATAAAACATTAATTAAAGTTGCACCGATTACATGAAACACATAAGACATAAAACATATTATTTGTGAATATAGTTTTCACTACTTATGATGAGTTTTTTAATAGCGTCTAAGGCTGTATCAACAGGAGTCAGATCAATAAGTTGCGTTCCTTCCTCCTTGATCCTTTCTTCCAATTCTGGATCGAGGACAAAGGAATGCTGTTTGAAGAGGGGTAAGATTTCAAGTTCGGCCTGATACTCGTCGTCAGTAAGGTGATACAATGCTAAATCGTCAATTTGGAGGATCGAGCCCTTAGGGACATTGATCTATAAAGTTTGGTTGGGCAGGATAATGCGCGTGGCAGTGTCGTGTTGATCATAGGTGAGGGTAGCTGTACGCGCTGGGGTGTTGACTAGCCATCGGTTTCCGATAATTTCGGCTTGTGTTGCCTCAATTTGGGACCATGGTATAGCCTCGGCAGGGCAGCTAGTATCAGGTCTAATGGATTCTAGGCCGCAGATGCTCTTGGTATTATCGCGGACACAGGGTTTACTCGGGCAGAGGTAATGAATGTCCTTAGTGAGCATACACATTTTCAGATTTGGGGCCAGATACAACTGCTCGTTGTTATCATGATACGCAACGACTTCAGGAGTGTGTATTTTGACATAGGTGTTACTCTGCCAAAATCCCACATTCACAATGTCTTTGAGCCGGTAAATGTTATTGGAGTCGATAATAGGTAAACTGAGAAGAAAGGCCAAGTCGCCTACTTCCGGGTCTACGTATAAGGGAATAGCGCTGCCCAGGGAAAAGGCGAGATGGGTTTGGATGGGACTAGCAGGGCCCGTAGTGGCGGAGGCTAGGACGGTTTGGACAAGGTTAAGAATCCTACCCATGGCTAAGTTATCAATCGAGGAGCTTACTTCTCGTAGCATGTCGGCCATGAGGGTAGTTAGGAGTTGTAATTGAGCTAAATCTTTTTGTACGACCGAAAATAGTTTATTGATGGATTTGATGGTTTGGTTTAGAAGGGTGCTATGGATATTTAGAATTGTGATGGTGCCGTTCAGCGACTTCCCGAAGGTCTGTATGGCATGGCTCTGGACTGAGAGCTGCTGTCGTATCTCAGGCATTTCAGCCTGGATTTCGCCCACATGCCAACTCACGGTGGCCAGATTCACGGCATTAGCGGTGTTCATGCCAATGTTAAACAGAGTTCCTACAGCCGCAGCAGCCCCCA